ATTTTCTTTTCCTGTATCCACAACATCTAACACCCCATAAGCACACAACCAAGAAGCATACCTACTATGAAAGTAACTTTCAGCACTGAGCTCTTTCTGAACCCTCCTTCTGCCTTCAGACAGGTTTCCCCACAGATGGATCAAATGTCAAAGTCCTGGGACACCAACAACAGAATATAATCACAGAATTATAGAATCATAGAATAGTTAGGGTTGGAAAGGACCTTCAGATCATCTAGTTCCAACCCCCCTGCCATGGGCAGGGACACCCCACACTAAACCACGTCACCCAAGGCTCTGTCCAACCAGACCCTGAACACCGCTAGGGATGAAGCATTCACAACTTCTCTGGGCAGCCCATTCCAGTGCCTCACCACCCTTACAGTAAAGAACTTCTTCCTTATATCCAATCTAAACTTCCCCTGTTTAAGTTTTAACCAGCTACCCCTTGTCCTATCACTATAGTCCCTAAAGAAGAGTCCCTGCCCAGCATCCTTATAAGCCCCCTTCAGATACTGGAAGGCTGCTATGAGGTCTCCACACAGCCAGTATAATAACCAGTAAGAAGAACCCTTCTTTCTCTTTCTCACATCCTCTAGAACCTCACAGTTAGTTTTCAACAAAACCAAAGAGAATTACAGGAAAACTCTGCAGGAGAGGAGTGACAGCATCAATTCTTATGCAGACAACACCAGAGTTGTAAGTCTTTAACTCCTGCTGTCAGCTGATTCTGTAGAAGCCAGAAACGTGAGCTGTGTACACGCAGGAGGACATTTTAATTTTGTTATCTGGCTCATTGGGAAGCACCTTCACCTCTGAAAACAGGAGATGGTGTGTTGTGTACATTGCAATGAGGCTTGGGCACTTGACCAGTGATAGCACTGTACTACTAAATGATGAGAAAGGGACTTGGAAGAAGAGCTTATGTATGCATGGCACATTTCAGAGAAAAACAGTCTGATGTACACTTGCTCTCTCAAAACAGACTCTGGTTTAAAATGCTGGTCAAGTTGGACAACACAGACATTTAAAATTAACGCCACCACAAAATTTTAAGAATTGAAATCTTAAGTGTGAAGGTTTGAATACCAATTAATATAAATCTATACATACATATACAAATACCTGTATGATCCTACAAATAGAAATTTACACAAAAGGGGAAGGGAATTGAGAAATACTAATAACTACATCTGAAAGAAAAGGGCAGGGAGTGGTCCTAAGATGTCTTCATTCTATCTCAGTTCTACTCCCTGCCAAACCCAAGACCATTTAAACCAAAAAGATAATCAAATGAGATCAAATGGATAATGCCACCCCTTTTGGGAGTTCTGCAACAAAACTGTATCAATCAGCTTTATCCCCTTTGGAAAAGGAAGGTCCATCTCCTGTGGACTATATGATGGTATTTAAGTTGACATGCTAACAGGTCCTCTAACAATAGGAAAATTGCTTTCCTAAGATCAAAAGAAAAGCTGAATTTAATGCATAGAATGCAGTAAATATACGTATCAGAGACTGAAGAGTAAAGCATAAGATTGCTTCCTAGAAAAAATACGAGACAACCACTTCACTCATGAAGGACTAGGCTTCGTGCGTTTTCTCTTGTTTAATCCTCAACAAGTCTGCTAATGAGAACTTCCTGCTCATTCACAGTGGTAGTGTTGCTAAAAGCATACGAATTCTGTCATCATCTCTAGTTGCAACACAAACTCCATCTAGGGCCAATTCAGAAAAGATCTTTCCTATACATAGCACAGAGAAAAGAGGACCATCACCCAGGTTCACACAGTTCACTTGCAATGCAGAAACCATATGACCAAAGGAGTGTTTCCACTCCCATATGCATTACAGAACACACCAAAACTTTATCAGCTTTGTTATTGCCTTGCTCATTCTCCTAGCTCATTTACAGTTCCCTAAAATTCTCGACTGACTGAACTTGGTTAGTCAAAATAACCGGTGCACACAAATTTCGGTAGTTTATCAACCATTCCCTACTATGAACCAGCAATATCAGGTCTTAAAAAACTCTGGGCTTACCCCGTATCAGGCTACTTTTACTCATTCTTGATCTTTAAAATGGGAAAATGATTTCCCCTTCCTAGCTGTTTTGTCTATTAACATTATATGATGAGAGAGAGGGAGGCATAGATTGTTTATAGCTATTTCTGAATTATCTGTTACTGTGGACTCCCAATCTTGCTTGAAGGCAGTCAGTGTGATTATACAACCAATATGAAATGATTCAACTGTCAGTAACATTACTAGTTTAGCCAACTTAAGGCATATCTGAGGTGGTGTATCAGCACACATACGGAGAGCCACAGTGCAGCTGTATTTGCCTCAATGCAGCTAGAACTGTAGGACACAGTCTTAAAGTAACAACTCAAAACACTGGATAAAGAGCTGGAAGGCCTAGAGCTCATAGGTATCTCCATCTCTCTCCAACCATCTTGGTAGAGAAAACACCAAAACAAACAGAAAAAGACTGCTAGGCTAAGACACATATACTAATAGATTTTATTATTATTTTTTAAAACTCATTCCAGTGTTAAATAAACTGTGGAAAAAGTATTTGATTCATGGTTGTATTAGGAGTCTACTCAACCAAAGCCCCTTGTCACAAATTAAATCACAAACCAAAAGTCAAACATGATTTGTGAAATTAACATTTATTGAGGAAATACTCCCCAGCGCTGCATCGTGATTAGTCTCTGGCTTCTGAAATATCACCCATAATTCATGAGCTCTTCTGAAACACTGCCACTGCTGCTGAGATGGCATGGGTGATGGAAAGGTGCCACCACCAGAGAGTAATCCTTTTTTGATGCTGGTGAGAACTAGAGGGGTATTATTTGGGAAAGTATATGCATACACAGTTCTCAGCCCACACACACTTGTAATGCTTCGCCCCTCTACAGGCTCCACCTCTTAGATTTATCCAAGGCTACGTCTGTTTCTAATTTTGAACACAGAGGCTTGGCAGAAGCTCTGCATTGTGCCCTTTCTTTAAAACAGTGACTAATGAAATGAAATTAACAGCTATTGGCTCTTTCACAAAGCCAGTGTTTTTCAGCAGAAGGCTTCAGTGCCTTTGTGGACAGCTCAATCTTACAGGCAGAGGAGCAACAGCACAAAGAAGACTTAGTGATTGTTAAAGGCTAAATGGTCATTGGCAAAGCATACTTCAGAACCCATCATTTTTTAGAAGCCAGGATATATAGATACAGCTTAAAGATATGGGATACTTCCCTTTCAAGGTGATTTTCAGCAGAAAGGTATTTTCCTGCCAAGGAATGCAGCCATTTCTCAGAAATCTTGTAACACCACCCCCACTGCTCTAAGCAGTAGATATTTTTCACATGAAGCAAAATAGCCACCAGGTTATGTGGTAAAAAAACAGCTCAACTCAGCTGCTGGCTTCACAGGCATTCAGGGCAAGAAGAAAGCTTCAGCACCTCTGTAACCCATCCTCTCACTTCAATTGATGAAAATTTCTTTTGTCTTAATGTATTCATACATTTTCTCCACCACTCAAGTATCCTACATCTACCTGGAGCACATCAGCTTTTTGCTGGGCTTATGCAAGTGTGTGTTTATGTGTGTGTATATCTAAGATTACAGACATATAAATAAACAAGGATCACAAAGAAGAATATTCCTAACCAAAAGCAAGCCTGGGGCTTGTACTAACCCCCTTTAAACCAGAATACAAATGAATGTAGTCTTATAGATGGTGCCTCTCTTTTCAGTATTAATGGAGAACTTGCTGGCTGTAAAGCCTTGCTTCCCTTTGCTACCCTCCTCTCGCATGCAGAGCAGGCTGTGCTAGATCTCAGCCTCTGTCCTTAGCTGGGGCAAACTGGGCTTAATGGTGCCATGACCATTTACACCACTGAGGATACAGCACTTGAGATGTGGGTCAGCAAATGTTTGAGCCAGCCTCCACCCAGTGCCTGCACAAGCTCACTCCGGCAATAGCATTTCACCATGGATGGCAAGCTCTTCCCCAAAGGAAAATGTGGAATCCAAAAGAAATTACTGCCTGCTCTAGAAAGCTAACCCTTGGGCACAAAGGCCTCATTCTCAGAATAGGATTTCATTGCTCCAGTAACGAGACTGGCTGAATAGTCCATGAGGGATTGTTACCTCCATTCAATACACTTTCTTTGGGTAAACAGTCATTCCTTTTTTGAGTTGTGACATTAGGGAGAGGTCACCCATGGATAGTGGTTTTTAAAAATAGTTTGTTTTCTTTTTATTACTCTCTTCTACTTGTAATAACCTGTTAAAAAGCTGAAAATAACCTGGAGTTCCCTACTGGGTTGCCCTTTTCCATTTGAAGAACATTGATTTTATTTTCCTGCTGTGGCAAGATTAATATGGCCTGTTTGTTTGACAGCAGATTCAACATATCTAGTGCCCTGTCAAGCTAAAATGACTCTGTGCATGGACAATATCCCTGTCCAGCACTGGCGATGATCTGAAAAAAAACCCCAACAACCCCTCCCGCCCTAAAAACTTATCTGTTACAGCAGAACCATCAGGAGAATTCAGCAGCCGTTAAAACCAAAAATTGTTATTGATGGGGCAAATTTAAAATACTGTTAGAGAGAACCGAGGGTTTCAATGAAAACTATCACGCAAGGGAGGTTATCCAAATTGTCCATGGTAAGACTTAGAGTTCTGTTTTAAAATGGTTCCAGATCTTACAGGGTCAAACCTTCCTGCCCTCTTGCTGTTTGACAGAAAACACAGGTGTGTTCTCTCTCCTCCATTTTAAGTAGGAAAAGAAACAGCACGTAAGTACAGAGAAGAAAACTGAGAAAAGCTAAGGAAATAAGGAGTGTTCCTTCGTCATCCAAGTATTAGGTATCACACAGACAATAGCTGAGGGCAAAGCCCTGCTCCATTCTCTCAGAAACGTCACCAAATTCCAAAACCCTCATCTCCCTCCCTCCCTTCCCCTTTCTCTGGCAAAAGCCAGGAATACCTACAAATATTTTTTATTTTCGTAAACATCATGCAGCTTTAAAACGTGGGGGTGTTCTATCAACTTCAGGATGGCTATTTCCCTCTCCACCTGGAAGAAACAAAAAGAAATAGAATATTAGTAGCTTGGTCTTAGAATACATTAGATATTGTCACACATTTTCTTCTCATTTACCATTTTCCACTCCTTTTTATGCAGAGGATACGGCAACTTATAGCAATATATCTTACTTAGCACTCATATAATTTAAGAAAAATTCAATTTATTCAGCCTCAGCACTCCCTGCCCTGCAGAACGGAAAACAAACAAAATTTCAAGGTTGAAAGAAAGTCCCAAAATCTACCAAAGGGAATTAGCTGTAAGAGTTATAGGAGCATTAAAGGCTCTTCCTCCCTCACAACCCAAACCCAGTGACATATTCTCAAAGTACAGAAGCTCTTAAGATGTCACTTAGGGCTCTCCTGACCTCCCACGGGCCCAGATGTGGCCATGCTGCATTACGTATTACATACTTAATTAATACTATACAATCCCCATCCTGAAGAACATGCAGTCTATTCAGAACAACGAGCAGAACGCAGCAGTGTGGTTTTGCAGTTGCAGAACCAAGGCACAGAAAGGGAAAGAAATGTAAGAAGTGACATAAGAAATACAAAGCAGAACAAGAAATTAAACCTGACTATTGGAGCTTGAAGCGTAAGACTGTGCTTCCTCTCAATTCCCAATCTGTCCAAACATGGCTACTTCTAAAAGCATGTCTTCAACATGGAGTTAGCAAGTTGTGACTAAGTTCCTGTAATTAGTACAAGCCCTGCTCTTCCCCAAAACTCTTACCATACTGCCGTGGTGCTTTTAACCCGAATTTACTAAGGGTACTTATTAAAGCTAGAGTCAGTGCAATTCCTCAGCTGCTAGCAAAATTGCTCTGTGCTGCCTGAAGCCGTGGTGCAACTGCTCTGATTTGACCTAAGCTAACTCAAAGGGAGTTTATGTAGCACCATGGAGGCTGTAGGCAACTGAAATACACTGTGAAAAGATGCAGCCTAAGCATTGCATAGCTGGGCATGACAAATTTTAAGGATTCCACAAAGGCAGGAAAAAGACCTACAGAAGCAAACAAGGACAACTGGGTAGAGTTTATTCCCAGCCCTTCAAGTAACTGATTGTCCTGGAACTGCTATGCTAACAAACAAAAAACCACACACAAACTACAAAACCATCCCTTAACATCTCCCCTGCAGAGATCAGATAAGTAATTAGGAACTTGCCCAAGTATACCTTTAGTTCTTGATGTCCCTTAATTTCCTGAGATACCATCTTAGACTAAGCCTGAACACAGACACCTTTTTCTGAATGCAAATGAGATACTCAGCAGGAAATTAGAAAGCAGTAGTTTTCCAGTGCTGTGCAGAGGAGGAGGATTTCCCAGTATGTTGGTTGTCATCCCAGATCTCTCCCTCTACACAACCACACAAAGCCAGCAAAAGCAACTCCTGCACCACATCACCCTTGGTCATCCTTGAATATCAGGATGAAGGAAACAGTGTTTGTACATGTGTTAATCTTATATACTTATTTGTCTCTGCTCACTGAAAAGTCAGCTGAGAGATCTACTACCACACTTGGGATCTCTGGAAATAGCTCCTTCCAAGAAGTGGGGAATGCATTTAAACACATATGTACATAGTTCAGCACTGTCGGAACTGCTGTGAATTCAGTGATACACAATGCCTGATGGTGACAGCTCTGTAGGTGTAACTTAACTCATGACCAGCACTTAGATGAAAGCCACTTATACAAATAGGAAACACAAACTAGGTGATTTCAATTGTACTTCCCAAAACCAGGGGGAGAGCTAGTTTATTCCATTTTTGTCTCCTCCTCAAGGAGACTATTCTCTTCTACAAGATACGCACTGATATTTGCAGAGGACTTGTTCAGCCCTATAGCTGAAAAAGCTGGATTTGTTTCAAGAATTAGGAAAAACAAAACAGAAGCACCCACTCAAATAACATTCTTCCAACACTACTGAGGTTCATCATCAGCACCAAGCACCACATCTAAGAAATTAGAACTACAAGAAAGTTACCTTTGGATGGGGGAGACGAGGTATTTCATGGGGAATGTGACCATTGTACTAGCTATGGTAGGGATTATCCAACCCCATTCTCCCTTCTGGGGGATACCCTGCCTGTGAAAGATGAAATTCCCCGCAGACGGGCTGTCTAACTGCACTGGCAATTCACTGCTGAAAAGTCTCTGGTGGGTGCGGTGGCAACATATGTTCAGACCAAGTGAGTGATGGATGGCATCATCCACTCAGGGTCCTGCTTGGTTACTGCCCTAAAGCATGAGAAGAAGCCATGATTTATGATGTTCACTTGGAGAAGGGGATTCAGTTACAGCACAGCATGGCCAAGTTCAAGAAGAGCAAATCAGAACAAAAAGCAAATATCTACTTACTGCCTATAGATTTACGCTAAGAACCAATTAAAAGGAAATAGCCTGAGTTACTTTACTTTCGTCACTTTAACTGTGTGAGTGTGGAAGGCTTTGTGCATATTTTTAAATTCCTGGCACCTAAATCCTGAGAGGAAACACACTTACACAGGCCTTGATTACACAGGCATGCAGAAAGCCATCTGGCCAGATGGGCCTGGCAGCATTTCACTACAATGCATTCAGTTCAGTGGTGCGTTGCACCACTCCAGCTTTCCACTGTCTGCTACCTCTTCTAGCTGTAAACTAAGGACAAAACTAATCTACTCATCTCAGTAAGATTTCATATCATCTTTCAGTGAAAAAAGGGGCTTTGTGAAGGAAAAGCATCATTACTGTACTTCTCATAGTCCAGGCCTTGGCCCCATATAGAGAAGCAACACACTAATGGCTGTATTTCAAGCACTAGAGATTCCCAGCTCCTAAACAGCAACCTAATAAAGATCAACCTCAAAAATTTTCCAGCAGTGCCCTGCCTCTTTTTTCTTCCAAAGGAAAACAACAGTTCACAAAAACGTACAACAGACCACCTTCTCAAAATTACTACTGCAGTCATTACTGTTGGCTGACTCTCCCAGATCCTATTCATTTTTTACATCCCCAAAGAGAAGCCAGACATTGATATGGGCTGGACACAGACTGTAGACCATGACAGTGATTTTACTGATGCATGGCTTAGGAAGACCCAGCAGCCACCGTGTCACTAGCAAAAGAAAGGTATCTGAACTCACTGGCAAAACGAGAGAGGTCTGAAATAGTATGCAGCTTTGCCTTCTTCTCCAGAGCACTGCCAGCCCTTGGCATGCTTTTTTTGCGCATCCCTGTGCTAGCAAGCTATGGAGTGCTCTCGAGCACAGAGCTGGCAAGGACGGGGGAATGGAGAAACCCTGCAGGGGTGTTTGCTTTAATGCAGATGCAATTATCAGAAAGCAGGCCAAACTCAGAATAGCCTGTCTAGGGAGGATCAGAGTCTGTGATAAACGAGGAAACATGGAGAAACATTTGCATAATAGTTAAAAAAGAAAGGAAAAAAAGGAAGCTTTCTCTGTCACACAAATTCCAGGTCACTTCATAGCGTCTCAACTACAGCCTGGGTTGCCTCATACCATGGTAGGTTACTGACTCTGCAGCAAAACAGTGCCTTGGAGCTGGGGGAAAGAGCTGTGAAAGGCTGTGCAGGGCAAATGGAGATACACTGCTAACTTGTAACCTTGCAGGCGCCAATTAAGAGTTTTTAAAAATCTATGCAGCAGGCTGATTTGACAGGATGCTTCAGTGATTCAGCTAATGACAAAGTGCAACATAGGGGCGACACGACCCATATTCCTTAGAGGAATAATGCAAAAGTCTGGTTCCCTCTGCTCCATCTCTACTTAACCCTTTGTCAACCCCAGAAGAAACCACATCTCTGGTTTAAGCCCATTGTGTTGGCACAGTTTTCACTGGTGACAAGCACTCTGCTCTCTCACCTTCCAATCCACAGGTATACAGGATGCCAATTCAGGTAGAAGACAAGGAGAGCAGGCTGAAGAAACCTGATAGTTTGCCTCAGAGATGGAAGAAAGTTTCCTTTTCTCTTGTTTACATTTGCTCAGTAACAATTGGGTCACCCATCACCCATGTGGTGCTGTGAGAACTTGAAAAATGAAGCCGAAAGCTGCCTTTTATCTACCAGCCTGTATTTTATCTACCAAACCTCTGTAAGCACTGTGCAACAGTCATTAATAGCAGTGTTTCCCAAAGAACAGCTACACACAAAAAGATGGAGGACAGCAGATGACATTTTCCTTGGATGCTTGAAGGTTCACCAGCAGTGCATCACAGAGCTTGCTCTCTCTCCATTGACACCAGTGTCTCCCATATTGTTCAAAACACCATTTGGAGAAGTGAGTCTGAAGCTGCAGAAGTGGACCAGGGGGCTGCAAATGTGTTGTGCTGGTTTTCCTACTCAGAGCAAAATGGTGGAGGGGAGGTGGAGGTGGGAGGTCTTCATGTGAATATCAAGCTCTCTAATGGTGACTCTACTCTGCTTTGAAGTAATTAATGAAATACTTTTCAGAACTCATGGCTGTCTCTCAGTTACTAGAATCTCAACCAGAACATGAACTCTCTCTGACTTATTATTTAGATTCAGAATGAACTTCAAAGGATGCAGAGATTTGGATACTCATCTATCTCCTCAGGCTAGAACTCCGGTTGTAAACCTTGTACCGAAGTACCTGCTTTCGTCAGTGTTTGGCCCACTGTGCAGTGATTTGCATTTCCGTGATGAGAGCACAAAAATCAGAAAGTAAGCCACTGTGGTACTCCACTGAGTTGAAGTGGCAAAACCAAAGGTACTGGATAGGAAGAAAATAATCTCAAGTTCCCTGGAAAGTCTGTGTTCTTCAGTAACAGAAATATCACAAGAACAGACCTGAAGATTTTACTCATTTAGTATTTTGCTTTCATGTTGTGTGGGACTAAAAGTTAAAAATGGGGAAAAATCACTGGCTTTGGTGAAGACCATCTGGGTCATCTGTTCACTCTTTCCCGTAATCACAGAATAAATAGGCTACCCTTGGAAACAGAAAAGAAGTTAAACCAGATAT